CCTGGCGAGTCGGTCGCCGGGGCTGGGGGCTGCGGCCTGGCAGAGGCCGCGGGAAGGAACAGGAGGGACCAGCGGGGGCCGGGAGGCCCGGGCGGGGAGCAGACGGGGATGCGCGGCGGGCGCGCCCAGCTGAAGCTCAAGAACCGCCACCGCCTCCGGGTCGCCACCGGACGAAGCTCCGGCTTCTTCTCGGCCTCCTCTCCCTCTCCCAAGTACCCGCCGTCCTCTCCCCGCCGAAGCCCTGTTGCTGCAATTGCTGCTCTTTTTTGACGCCTCCAAGCTTTTACTCTTGATGTTCTTTGCTCGCCCCGGCTGCCCTCCCGCATTTCTCCTGGCGATCTTGACCTCGGTTTAACCTCAACCTAGGACTCAAACCTCTCTCTCAAACTGGGCCCCGGATACGCTGAGCCCCGTCCCTGCACCCTCATCCCTAGTCCCCGTCCCTGGGTTGCCTAAACCTAAAGCTTTTTCGTTTCCAACCTGTGCCTTTCAGAAACCTCTCGATTTTTGATTGCAAGTTGCATACTTAGGGCTTGGAGTTAGGACTCAGAGCCCAACTCACTTCCTTCTCCCCAGCCAGAGAATCTTCCCTTTCAGATTTCATTCCTCTTTTATTAGTTCCTGGCACAGAAATTATCTGGCCCTTGACCCCGGGGGCAGAGTCATATCTGCCCCTCTCTCCATGTTCTGGCCTGGTGTGTCCTGGCCAGGCTTTGAACAAGCCCAGAATGAGTCCAGCAGTTTCCTGCAGAACAGCACCGGGGTGGCCTACCCTCCCTGCTGTTCACTCTCAGACACCCCCGGAATATCACTTTCTTGCACTGACTGACTCCCATCCTCTTTTGGGGGCCTCCAAGTGTGCAGTTCGTGGTCCACCCCACATGGACCCAGCTGAGGGTTCCCAGGGGCACTGCTGGGCCAGAGGGCCCCCCACTCCTCTCCTGACCTCTGTTACCATCCCTCCCTCTCCATGCCCCCCTCCCCATCACCTGCAGGGGCCTGTCACTCCCACCCAGACTTCTCAAGGGCTCAGCTTTTAACTCAGGTGAGATGATCAAAGGTAGGTCTCTCTTCAAGGTGAATTCTTATGCCACTCTCTTTCTCCATCTCCTTATCTGACTCTCTAAATCCTTGCTTCTCCCAGTGTGGTCCCTGGACCAGCAGCATCGGCATTACTTGGGAGCTTGTTAGAAATGCAGAATCTTAGGCCTTGCCCAGACCTGCTGAATCAGAACCTGTCTTGTAACTAGATCCCAAGTGATTTGTGTACACATTACATTTGGGAAGCATTGCTCTGGAGAAACCCCCCAAAGCTGTTCCATTCTTGCTCTACCCCTCTCTCCAGCCTCAAACCTGCCCCTGGCTCTAAATTTCCAGCAGACACCCTACCTACTTGATGGAGAGAACACAGGGAATCTTGGCAGAAGCCTGCTGTCTCTCTCAGCTGTCTGTGTTGTTGGTCCTTTCTTGGTCTCTTCACCCATTCTCTTCTCTCTCCTTGCAACCTGGAGAAGCATGTGGACTCAGGCCCTCTTTGCACAGTCCCATCTTCTGCACCTCCTGGTGTTGCCCCATCTGATCTGTTCAGTGTCTTGATCCTCCGTCTTTCCTCTGCTTAGACGTCCTCATTCTTAAAAGAACCCTCCTCTTGTCCCCGCCTCCTCCTCCAACTTGTGCCCGCCCTGTTTCTGAGAAAGTCCACAGGCACGCTCCACCAAGGATGCCTTGCCAGCCCCCAGTAAACCGCTCCCGAAGCCCCAGTGGTCTGGCTCCCTTCCAGCTATGCCGCTGTTTGCACTTCTCTCCACCTCAGGCCCTCTGACCTTGCAGCATCAGGCTCTCCCCTCCTCCTCCCACACACATCTGGGAAGGCCATCCTGACGACCAGAGCACACTGTCTCTCCTCTTGCCCCCCTGAGCGCCCCGGTCTCCTGTGCCATGCTCCTTCTCCCTTTCTCCCCTCAGAGAACTCCTGCTCCTCTGCAGTCTCAGAGGCCGTCTTTGGGGAAGTGATTTCCTAGTGTGGGCCTCTGTCCTGCTGTGTCAGTCCTGAACATCAACTGCTGAGGACAGAGCTGGGCTTGACCCTCGAGGAGGAGGGGAGCACCTGCCTCCAGGGAGGGTCCCTATCACAAAGAGCTCTGCCCCTGGGCTGGGGGTGGGGCTGCTTGAGTTCCACATGCCCCTGCCCCACTCATGCCCACTCCTCACAAACCAGCTCTTCCTCCTGGCTCCCTGTTTGTCCATGGTACCTCCTCCTGATGCCCTCCAGGCTTGGGGCCCAGGAGTTCATCTCGGATACTTTCCTCGCCCTGTCTGCAGCCACCTCTCTGTCAGGACTTAAGGATTCTCCCTTCATGTCGTTCTCCCTAATCCTGGGCCCACAGTGTGTATCTTTAACTGTGAAACTTACTTGGCCTCTACCGGACTCCACCTTTGCTTGGAGGAGAGATCTGCCCCAATCTGATCACAGCCTCCTTAGCTATCTCCCTGCCCCCAGCTGCCCACCCCCGACCACCCTCCATCCTCCTGCCACGGTTCTTAAAAGCAGGCCATCACCTGCTTAGAAACTTCCAAACGTCTCTCATGGCTCCCCAAGTAGACATTTAGGGATTCAATTTAGGGACATTCTAGGCCCTTTGGTGCCTGATCCAAATGTCTCTTGCCAGCCTGCCCTCCATTCCCTTGCTGTGTGAGTCCTTTGCTTGCCTGACACAGAAGATCTTGCTATTTCCCAGACACAGCTCAGCTCCATGCCTTTGCTGTAGCTGTCCCCTCCAGCTGCAGTGCCCTCACTTCTACAACACCTTTCTTCTCTAGGAGGAAACGGGGTCCACATTCCTTTTCATGATAGTTGAAGGGTTTTGGTGTTGCAATCTTCATGGTTCAAGAAGACCCTTCCCAAGGTAGATTTGGGGGACAGGTGCTCAGAATTAACCTGGGGCAGAAAGGAGAGTCAGTCAACCCAGGAAAGTGGCACTGAGCTAAGGCCAGGCTGGACGGGCTCCTGACCTGTGTGGGTTTCTATTCTATATTAACCACATGGACTAGAAAGAAACCACCCAGGCTGGTGTTTGAGGCTTCCCAGGGCCCAAAGCCCCAGAGAAGGGCTTCTGGGTTAGAGCTGCTGAGCCAAGGGGCAAGGCCTCTGGGTGCTGAGGACACCAACTGGACCCAGCAGGTAGAAGGCCAGGGAGCCAATTCTCCGTCAGTCTTTGGGGTCAGAGGTTAATTATCTCTGCTTTAGACTCAGCAAGTCTGTTTCTTGGAACTCTATGTGAGTTTTTATTTTGCATTATTTATTTTGGTTCCTTTGGTAAATTTCTCCTTTCAAACTGCTGCGGCTTCTCCGTGAGAAAAGGATTTGGAGGCCTGCTGTGGCTGTGGCCACAGAGAGCTGGAGGGGCGGTAGTGACAGATAGAGGAGGCTGGGTCCAAGCACGCAGAGAATGCGAGTCCATCTGGCCCAAGCAGAGGGTGACCCTGGCCCACCAGCCCAGAGCCTCTGACCTCACCCTTCTCCGTCATGGACATTCGTGCTCAAATCCACAGGAAGGGCTCTTGTCGTGTGCACAGTGCTAGTGAATAAGCAAAGACTAAAACACAGGCCATGCCCTTATGGGCTCCACAGTGTGGTGTGGGGGACTTGTAAACACTCAGCGTCACTCCAGAGTGACCTGGCTGTTAAAGAGGCAGGGGCGAGTACCAGGACCAGCACAGAAGAAGGGCCTGAGCCTGAGAGGGGGCGAAGGGGGTCTTGGGCAGGAGGATCAGCATACGTGAAGACTAGTAGAGCTGAATGAGCGGGCTTGCTGCGCTTGCTTCAAGGGGGAAGGTTTTAGCACCCGGAGCATCATGCTCGTGCCTAGCATGCCATGCTGAGGAGCTTGGAATTTTTCCTATAGACCTGGGCCTTAAAGTGATACTTTAAAAATCAGCAGTGCTCCTCCCTCTCTCACTTTTTTTCTCTAAAAAGAGGT